CCCCCCCCAGCGGACTCCTGCCTTCCAGACCCAGCCGCCCCCACCATCCTGCCCCCGTGGCCTCCTGCACCAAGTCCCCCATACTCCCCCGCTGGGGACCCTCAGGCCCCCACCAGACCCCCTCACCTCTTGAACCCGGGAGCTAAATTCCTAAACCGCATAACCCCGTCAGTGATCCCAGTTCTGTGACACCCCAGCCCATGTCTGCCCCGGCCTCCAGGCCTTGTCTCTGTAAAAGGGGGCATTGTTGGCCCAGGTCTGGCCCCACTGCCAGTCTTCTGGGTGCAGCCCCCAGACCCCCAGCGGGGTGGGACTGATGTCAGACCCCCCCATTCACTCCTGGTCTTTCTGACTCTGCTCCCCTTTGCACTCCAGGGAGCTGGGGCGGGGTGGGGGGGGGCTTGCTGGGGGGCCTCCATCGGGGGAGGGGGGCGGGGGGTGTCTTGCCACTGGCCTGGAATGTTCCACAGCGAGCGGTCTTCCCAGCCTTTCTGACATGTGGCCTTTATTTAACCTGTGTCTTTGAGATGTTTCTGGCTTTTTCTTGGTTATTTATGTGCAGCTGGATTTAGATTCTGTCTGCAGAAGGTTCCAGGCCTTTGGTTGGGTCCCCGGGACCTCCCTCCCCCGTGTGCGTGCAGCTACATGGGCCTCACCCCTGCTGGAGTAAGGGGGCTGATGCATGTGCGGATCCCTCCCAGAACCCCACACCCCGCCCCAGGCCTCCTGCATGTCTATCCGATCCACTCAGCCCCGACTGGCCTTTAAAGCTGTTCCCCCCAACCCACCCAGCTTTGGGGAGCGCACGGAACGAGCAAGGTGAGGCCTCATGAGCTCCTGCCTGCCTGACCCACGCCCTCTGGGGATGGGGCCCTGTGGATGCAGCTGGAAACCCCACGGGGTGGGGGGGCCTCAGGGTTTCTGCTGCAGGGGAGTGACCGGCCGCTCCGCGTGCCCTTAACCTTAGGACATGTACTCGAGGGTCCGTGGCTGTTGGTGGTGAAGAAAGGATGGGGAAGGTGGGCATGGGACCCCCCAGAGAAGTCCGGGATGGGTGTGGCGTGGCTGGGGCTCCACGGAAGGGCTGGGAGCAAGGGCTCTGGTGGGAAGGTCAGCCTTGTGTGGTATTTGGTAAGCTTTTCTGGGAGCAGGAGGGAGATGTGGCCCGGGAAGAGGACGGGCGAGGACAGCAGGGATCCTAGCCGTGAGCGAGTGGTGCCAGTGCCGAGCGGGGCGAGGGGGAGGGGAGGCCAGGGGACCAGAGGGGCTGGGCACGCAGCAGGTGCAAGGGGGCACTGTGGGGCAGGGGGACAGTGGCTGCTTTGAAGGGGGGACCCGGCTGTGGGTGCATCCTGCAGGCGCTTGGTGGGGACCCTCGAAACAGCAGGTGCAGGTCCTCTCCCTGGCGGGCTGGAGTGGCAGCTTGGTAGGGGAGGAGAGTGGGGGGCTGCAGTGGCGGGTCCCTGGACCTGGCTCCAGCATCCTGGGGAAGGACAGGTGTGGCAGGGATGCGTCCAGGGCCGCGACACCTGGCGGTGGGGGGGGAGGCGGTTGGAGGCCCTGTGGGTCTGGGGTCTGCAGCGTGCGGGGACAGAGCCGTGGGAGGGGTGGGCAGCCTGGGATAGGTGTGGGGAGGGGAGCAGGGTGGTGCTGAGGAGTGGCTGTGAGGAGCCGCCCCGAGAGTGGGGTCTGGGCACAGGCAGGGTGGCCTCCTGGCAGACATTCACCTTCAGACCGGCCCTCCCTCTGGACCGTGGCTTCCTGCACCGGCGGCCACACGAGTCCCGAGTCCCCAGGGAGCCTGGGCCCCCAGCTCGCCTTGCGGGTCCGGACAGTGTCTTTTGTGCTTGGGCCCCAGAGACTCCCAGAGCACGTGGGTTTGATTGCCAGCCAGGGTCCGGGTCGGGCCGACGGCACTTTTCTCGTCCCCTGTGCCCTGGCATTGACGCCCCACTCTTTGGCCGCTACTGATAGAAGGTTCTAGTTCTTTTTCTTTCTTTTCAGCCTTTGGGTTGTGATTTTGTGCGCAGGGGTGAAATTTCCCCGCAGTGATCATGTGGGTCACTGCCCAGCGAGTGGCCTGGGGCGTTCTGGGCCTCGGTTTCCCTACCTGTGAACTGGGTCTGACCGCTCAGATGCCTCCACCCCGGGACTTCCAGGAGGATCGACTTGGTGACCCCACCAAGTGCTTATCACAGGGGTCCAGGGTGAGCGTAAATAGAGGTGGAGACGTAATCCAGGGCGTGAGGTCAGCAGGCCAGGGGCCCTGTAGGGAGGGGCAGAACTCGGTACCCCGAGGCCCCACTGGTGTGTGCCAGTGCTCCCCGCCCGGGCCCAGATCCTAGGAGGTGATGGTAACCTCATTGTGGGGAAACCTGGCACACACACACACCCCGCGAGCCAGGGGTCAAGGTCAACTTCAGTGATGTTGAGCGTCCGTCAGGGACTCCTGATGGGTCAGGCCAGAAGGGCACCTTGCCTCTGTGTTCTTCCCCAGCGTTGTGGGTTGAATGGTGGCCCCCGAAAAGGTGTATCCACACCCCGTGCCTGGTACCTGTGAATGGGACCATATTTGGAAAAAGGGTCTTTGCAGATGTGGTGAAGTTCAGGATGTCAGATCACCCTGGACTGTCTGGTGGGCTCTAAACCCAGTGACAGGCATCCTGGGAGACAGAGGAGAAGCCCCCGACCACCACAGAGGCAGGCACTGGAGCCCTGGGGCCCCCGTGGTTGGAGGAGGCAGGCAGGACCCTCCCCTGCAGCCTCCCAAGGGCCCTGCCGCCCCTGCACCGGGGACTTCTGGCCTCCAGGACTGGGGGAGGGTGGGATTCTGTTGTTGAGATGTGCCCAGCGCGTGGGAGACCAGGGTCTCCAAGCTGATCCCAGGACAGCCCCCGACAGACCCAGGTCAGGCTCATGCGGCGGGATGCCTGTCCAGGCGTCCTGGAGACTGTCAAGGTCACGAGAAGCAAGGAGAGGTGGAGATCTTGCCGCGCGCTAGGGGTGCCTAAGGGGGTGGCCAGATGCCATGTGGGTCCCTGGTGGTGTCCTGCTGCAGAGGGCAGGTTCCTGCCCCTGCTGAGGCCCACGCCAGAAGGCAGACTGGGGGAGGGGCTTGTGCCAACCGCAAGGAAGGCCCCTCGGGCTGGCCCACCCGCCGCCCCAGGCTCAGGTGGGCATGGGCTGACCTAGGGTGGGGGACAGAAGGGCCCTAGGCTCTGCTTGGAGGAGGCTCTGCTTGGCCTTCACCCTGTCCCCTTCCCCCGACGTGTCCTCCTAATCTGTCGCGCTTGCCGTTGACTCGCTCCTGTCCCTCCCTGCTGCCTTCCAAGCCCTGGAAAGGCCGGGCATACAGTAGGTGCTCAGTCACTGCAGGGCCGCTGACCTGCCCGAATCAGAGGTCTCTGTGCTGCGGAAGCCCTGGGTGTCTCACACTCCCGCAGTCGGTGGCTCAGATGCCCCAGTTCCTCCCGTTGTGGAGAACAGAGCCCTGCAGGAAGGGCCTGCGGGGAGCGGTGTGTGGGGTCCGGGGTCGACTGTTCCGCTCCCAGAACTTGGTGATGACTGGCCGTACCGTCTGGAGAACTGCCGAGGCCCTTGTTCTTTGTGGAGACTCTGAGCTGGTCTCCCGCTGACCCTTCTGTCACTGATCACCTCCCCACCCCGCCCCCCTCCGGCAGACAGGGATGCAAGGCGCTGGCGGGATGCACCCCTGGGCCGCCCACCCTCCGGCCCGGCGCCGGCAAACTTCAGTAAACGGCCACGCAGCCTCCGTCCCGGTGCTTGCTTCTGCCCGGCGGGACAGAGCGGCTGCGGGCAGCGCCATCAGCGAACGAGCGCCGCCGTGTTCCAAGAAAACTTTATCTGCAGAAACGAGCCGTGGGCCGGTCTGCCGGCCCCGGGCAGACTCCTGGTTCCTTAGGATCTCAGCTGCCGAAGGAGTTCGCTGGGAGGACGGGTCCACCGGCGGCACCAGGCTGGGGAGAGCGACGGTCCGGGTGGGGAGCGTCTGGGAGCGGGAGCCTCTCCGCTTGCTCAGGCTGTTGTCCGGGTTTGCAGGACGGGTGCGTGGTTTTCTACAACGGCTTTTGCACATTTATTGCCGATTTTTGGTCACTTTTTTTTTTCTCTGTCGTGAATAATCTTCATGATATTTTTCCAGCTGGTTCTTGCTGGGAAGCATGTTTATTTCTGTCTGATTTGAGCGATGTCTGTCCGAGCCCTTGTTCGTGCTAATAACTGTCGGCTGGGCTCTGCGGTCTGGCACCGCCGGTAGGTTTTCCTGTGATGATGGACCTGCCCAGAGTCACATTGTCCGGCGCTACTGCCCGTGGCCGCTGAGCCTTTGAAATTCAGCTGTCGCGACGGAGCGATTGAATCTTTACTTTCTTAGAAAGATTTTATGTATTTGTTTGAGAGAGAAAATGAGCACGAGCAGGGGAAGGAGAAGCAGACTCGCCGCTGAGCAGGGAGCACGACCTGAGGGGTCATGACCTGAGCCGAAGGTAGAGGCTTCACCCACCAAGCCCGTAGGTGCCCCAGTGAAATCTTCAGATTAAAAAAAAAAAAAGGTTTTTGGGGCATTTCTCTACGCTGTTGTTTTCAGTACACTGAACCCTTGAGTCATGGCGGGGCTGGGGCTCTGGCCTCCCCCCGGCCAGAAATCCACATGTAACTGTCCGCCCTCCAAACCGCCCCCACTGCTAGCCTAGTGGGGGCCACAGGCCGTGCGACGCCCAAGTGGACGCTTTGTCTGCCGTGAGCCGTGTTCTGAGGATCAGGAGGAGAAAGGACGTTGGCAGCCCCGGGCAGCGTTCGCCGAGGAACACCCAGCGACAGCTCTGTTACCTGTTTTCAGTTTTAATTTTATTTGTTTATTTATGGACGGGAGAGGGAGACCCCCTAGCAGGCTCCTCGCTCCCTGTGCAGCCCGAGGCGGGGCTCGATCCCATGACCCCAGACGGGAGCCGAAATCAGCCCGAGACTTAACCAGCAGAGCCCCCCAGTGCCCCAGCTCAGTACGGTTATGGCCGGGGTAACTCCCGCAGCCACTGAACTCCGTGCAGGGGCGGACGGCACTGCGTCCGTGCTGCAGGCGGCCAGCTGCCCTGGCTTCTGCGTGGCCGGGCGCGAGTCTGCGGGTGGAGACACGGGTTCTTTCCTCTGGGGTGGACCTGGGAGTGGACGGCTGGGATTGGGGGGGAGCCCTGACGTTAGACAGTTGGAGAAAGCGCCAGCCTGGGGCTTCCCGGGGGGTCTCCGTTGTTCCACTCGGGTCATGATCCCCGGGACCTGGATCGATCCCTGTCAGGCTCCCTGCTGGGCGAAGTCTGCTTGTCGGGCTCTCTCTGCCGCCCCCCTGCTTGTGCGCGCTCTCTCAAATAAATAAAATCTTTTATAGAGAAGGAAAGCGCCAGCCTGCTTCCCGGTGCGTCTGCACCGTCTGCCCCTGCGATCTCGGCCTCGCGGCTTCGCTGCTCCCTCTGGTCTGCTGGGGGGCCGGGGGTCGCCATGCCTTCCCTTCAGCGAGGGGTTCGCAGGGGCTCCCCTGTGCTTGTGTGTGTCCTCAGCGGCTCGTTCTCCGTCTGAGCTGCCCTCGTTTGTTGGTGTAAAACCGTTCCGAACTTCATCTTCTTGAGGGTCCGCGGCGACTGCCCGCCTGGCGGCTGACCGGCGGCGGGCCTCTCCTCCGGGGGCGGCGGGCTCGCGAGGTCCCGCCGTCCCCTTGCCCGCCTGCTTCTCGCCTTGGGTTGGGTCCGCTCTGTGCTCGCTGGATGCCCGGGATGGGAGCTCCCCTCGCCGAGTCCCGGGCTTGGCCTCATGGACTCGCGACACTTGGTCCTGGCGGCGCCCATCCCCGTGGCGGGGGGTGGTCTCCTCCCGGTGGCGGGGGGCTTGCTCGCCGGCCGCGGCTGCCATCCTCTGCACGCGCGTTGCTTCCAGCGTTGCTCTTTTCCCAGCGCGGGGCCCTTTCTCAGCGTCGCCATGGCTCTGGGTCATCGGACTCCTTGTTCGGAGCGCGCCCTGGCTGCTGTCAGCCCCCGCTGTGTGCCCGTCGCGCGACCGTGGCGTGTGCGCGTGGAGGCCCCCAGATTTGGTTCGGCCAGGCCGGCCGTACCGCGGTCTGCGCGCCGCTCCGCCCCACCGGCCTCCTGCAACAGCCTGAAGGTCAGCTCTGGTTGTCCGTCGGTTGTCTCTCCGTCGGCGCTCGGTTTCTGTGTCCGGGGAGCCCGTTGCCAGGGCCGCCGGTCGCCGACTGTGCCCGTTGCTGGCGCCCCTGCCCCCAGAGCCCAGGAAGCGTGGTGTCCGGCGAGAGCCTCATCGGGACACTCATTGTGCCCGCTTCCCGCCACTCTGCTTGTGGCCTGTGCCTTCCTCACCCCCCCAGCCACTCCCGCTGTGTCTTTGGATGCCCGGCAGTGCCTGCGTCCTTCCCAGGGCTGCTGGCCGGGAGCACTGTCCACTCTAGGGGCTCTCCCCAGGGGACACTGCGGCTCTGCACACACCCCGTGTCTTCTCCATGCTGCCCACTGGCTGTCGCGTTGGGGGCGAGGACGCCCGCCAGATGCCGCTCGGTGGTTTTCCGTGTCGTGAGCCGGACTTCTGCAGGGAGAGCCGTGCCTTCCTCCTGGTCCCGCTCACTCAGTTCTGTGCTCCTTCTGTCTTTGTGGACGTGGATACGTGTCGTGTCCCGCACGCGTACTCTGTGGAGGCTCACAGCACCCCGGATTTGGCCGTCCCACATCCCCTGTTCCGCGATCCCGTCCCACGTCCCTGTCCCGCTCGGAGCCTTTCTCTGCTTCCTGTCCCCACGAGACACTCCGAGTGTGTCTCATACTTTCCCCGCTCCGGCCCTGGAATCCACCACATCTCCCAGGAGCTGGTCCCGTTTGTCGGTGTGGGACGCGGACACCGAGCTCCGGTCGCTGGGCGTCCCCTCGCCACCAGGGTGTCCGAGCGTGGAGCCCTTCCCAGTGGACGAGCTGCCCCACCCCACTTTAGTCCTGTGTCTGCGTCCACCTGCCCAAAGCACAGGGTGACCCAGTACCCCCAGGTCAGCACCCCAGAATCCATCCCCCACCGCACTGATGCCCCTTTGTCCTCGGAGGAGAACCCGGCACACCCCTTCCATGACACGCCTGCTTCATGGCACAACCCCAGGACCCGCGGCTCTACTCAGGAGCGAGACAGGATGCGCAGAGGTGCGGCCCCTCCGGAGGCCCGGCTCCTTGAGTGGCGCCTCACCTTTGTGTGCGGCTCTCTTGGCCTGCACCCCCTTTCCCAAAACAGGTGTTCCCGTGCCATCCGGGGGTCTTGTCCGTGTTCTGTCTTCTTTAAAGCTTTTCAACTGGGGTAGAACGCGCACAACACTAGGGTCAACACCTCCACCGTCTCTGCACGCACAGCTCTGTGGTGGGAAGCACTCACACCCTCACCCTCTGGCTCCAGAACTTTCCATCCCCCCACACGGAGACTCCGTCTCCACGAAGCATGGACCCCCCACCCTGCCCCAGCCCTGGCTCCCACCCCCTCCTCTCTGTCTGTGCGGACGGAACTCCTCTGGGGCCCTCCTGGGAGTGGGGTCCTGCGGGACGGGTCCTTCCGGGTCTGGCCGCTCTCACAGCCCCGTGTCCTCGGCGTCCTTCCGCGTCATGGCAGGGGTCAGGGTCCCTCCCTTCCTGAGGCTGGACCGTGTTCCCGCATGGGAACGGACCATGCCATGTGTGTCCTTCACACACTGAGGACACTGGGGTGCTTCCCCTTCTGGCCACTGTGACCCACGTTCTGTGAACACAGGTGTGCAGCGTGTGTGGACGCGTGTGCAGCAGGCGTGAAACAGCTGGGTCCTGTGGTAGCTTGTGTCCAGCCCGCAGAGGGCCCACCGGACCGTCTCCACAGCGACCGTGTGACCCACATTCCCACCGGCTGTGCGGGCGCACGTCCCCGTGTCGGTGTCACATCTCACCCCAGCCGTCTGTGTGGGCCGAGGTGGTGTCCCCCTGGGGGGCAGATTGGCGCTTGGAGAAGGAAGGCCGGCGCAGTGACGAGGGGCTGGAGGCGCGAAGGCATCTGAGCCCGGGGATGGGAGATGGGACGCCCCTCCTCAGACCCGGTGGCCTCTCTAGGGCGCAGGCTTGGTGGCCGTGTGTGCTGGTGAGGGCGCGTGAGGTCCGGGGCCGCAGGTGTCGGGCACGGGGCGTGAACCCACGAGGCGCTGTCTGTGGCCTCTCGCTGCGGCGTCCGACCGTCTCCCGGCCGGGACTGAGGTGCTTGTGCACAGCTGGGACATGGGAGCAGGAAGGTGCTGGTTACAGGGTGCGGGAGCACAGTGAGGGCCCGGGGCTGCCGCCGTCGTCAGGGACGTGTCCGAGGCCGGCCACTGCGGAAGCCAAGCCTGCAGGCAGCGGGACCACAGACATGTTTCCTGTCCCCATGCTGGGGGCCAGACATCCGCGGTCAGGGTGTGACGAGGAGGTCCCTCCCGCCTCTCCTAGCTCCTGGGTGCTCCAGGTGTCCCCAGCCTCGTGGCCGTGCCCCTCCCATGTCTGCCTCTCACCACCTGGCTTCTCCCAGTGTCTGTGTCCCAAAGTCCCCTCTTACAAGGACACGGGTGTGGGGCTAGGGCCACCCTGCCCCCCTGTGACCTCACGTGAACCAGTCACATCCACGAAGACGATTTCCAAGTGAGGTCCCGTTCCGGCTTTCCGGGGGGACCTGACTTTTGAGGGACGCTGTTCTCCCCATTAGACTCGGTTTCGCATCTGGTCCTCTGTCTCGGGTCCAGTCTCTGGATGGGCTCAAGCCCTGTGCCGCATGGTGGCCCCTACGAGGGCCTGGGAGGTGTGGCCCAGGGTGGAGGGGAAGGTAGGAGCTGGGGAAGGAGGCCCTTCTCCCCGTAAAGAGTCGGGGGCTGCCCAGCCTGGGATTCGTGAGGGGGCCGTGGGCAGGCAGAGGCTGGAAGGAGGATGTGGGGGCCACTCTGAGCCCCACATGCGTCGCGATGGGGACCCCAGGACTGGGTGTGATGCGGGGTCCTTGTGGACCTGGGTCAGGTGCTCTGCAGCGGATGGGCTGCGGGGTGAGCCCTGGAGGCTGGGAGTGGACAGCGCAGAGCGGCGGGCCCGTGGACTGCTCCAGCTGGGGGGTCACAGCTTGGAGGGGGGGGGGGGGTGCCTCGCTGCTTGTCCTCACCCAGTGGGCCTTCCGGTCTTTATGTTGAGAAGTCGCGGGCAGGTGTGTCCCCCGTGGTCACGTCACGCTGGATGAACCCTTCAGCCTCACAGCTCCCGCCTCCTAACGCCGCCCCATGCTCCTGCCGGTCCCTGGGCCCCAGCACCCTTCCCTGCAGCCTCAGCTCCACTCCCATGTCCCTGCAAGCCTTCCTGGACCCTCGCTCCTGCCACAGCCTGTGAGCGTCCAGCCCCGCAGTCAGGCTGTCCATGCACCGACCTGTATCTGCCTCCCTCCCAGACGGGACCCTAGTGCCCACAGCCCGAGCGGGGGCGTGTGGGGGGG